TGTAGCCATTGGCTGCCTCCCCTCCTAACATGCCCAGGACAGGCTTATCCTCTTCTGAACTAGGGTCTGGAGAGGCATCTGGGGAAGTGTCCGGGGGAGTCATCAAAGTCACCCTTTGTTGCAATGACCAGAAAACATTCATAGAGGTTTTTTTTAGTTTTATTCATAACTAAAGTCATGCTCATAGGCATTTTATTTATTTATTAAATTTATTTGCCACCTATCTCGTTGTGAGGCTATTATGGCTCTAATCCTCCATCCAAAGAGTGATGCCTACTCCATCTTCTCTATGGCCATGTCCAAGACTGCAAGTGATGCTGCTGTTCCAGTTTTTATAAATGTCCTCATAGGATTTTTTTTTTTAATTTCACATTATTTTAAATAAAAGAGGAATACTAATTGTTTATGCAACTGATCCAGCATTTTAGTGTATGTCATAATGGATATACAGCACCTGCTGTAGGAACTTTAAACTCTGGACTTTTAACATGAAGATTGGGGGCCACCTTAACTTTATATAATGAATGGACCACGTAGGTCCCTAAGTCTTGTGAGAACACATCATGTGACCTTGTACTGTAAGTTACATTACACAGATTTTGGGATTGTATGAGGCAGATTGACAGACAGAAAATTTCTTGTGGAGATTCATTTTCACATATAATAAACTCATACAGTATATAATTGTAATTATATTTATTTAACCCTTTACCTTAAAAACATAAATACCAACTCATTTCCATAATTCTCAAAATTCTTCTGCTTTGTCAAACAAAGAATAAACGAGGGACGGTGACAACTTAGCCCCTAGAGTGCTAACGACCAGATGACTGCAAAGAATAGAATTCCTTCCATTCCCTAGCTTCTTGGATAAGATGCAAAACATTTTGAAGGAAAAAAAACCAAGGAAGTCCAGGTGCCTTTTGGAAAAGCAGCTTTGAGACTGAATATGGTTTTTCCCATCAAGCAATGCTCCATTGGTGATATCCTGTTCTGCTCAGCAAATTAGAAATCAATTTTCTTAAGAATTCTTGAGAGAATGATAAGGAAAGCAGTATGCTTTTCATTGTGCCTTTGTAATCCTGTGCAAATGAGCTTATCTTAGTCAGGCAATTTGGAGAAACAAATGTTGAAGGCCATCTACTTAGGCCTCTCAGCAAGGAGGTCAATTTATCTGGATACCTTAGGAGCACACTGTTGTGTTATAGTAACATTAGGGGGTTTCACACTAGGGCTTCACACTGGTGCTGTGGTATTCACATCTTGTCTATGATGGTTTATGATTGTAATAAATATTGGATTTGATCTGATTCATCTCTTATGATTGAATCTTGCTTGTGTTGGATCTGGGATGAAGAAACAATACCTTGCATTTGCCTAGATTCTAGCATTCTTGAAGATGACTGAATATTCTAAGCCTTGGTAGATTTGATTACTTAGCCTCTCTTTGAGAGAGATGGGCAGTTTAGAAATATGAAATATAAATAAATAATTTGACTGGTTAGGTAGAACATGAAATAAGACTGTCCACTTTAAAAGGGAAATGCTGTTTACTTGGTGCCAGTGGGAGAAATGAATGCATTTAGATTAGAACACAGTGAGCTAGAAATAGAAACGGTGTTTTTTTTTTAAAAAAAACAAAAAACAGAAGGAGCTAAATTAATTCATAGTGATTATTCTGGATAGTTCCCACATTGCTCTAATAAGAGTTTCCTTTTAGGAAAATAATTGTTTGCAGTGTGTTTGGTAAGCTTGGTTTTATGATTATATTGCAGTTAATTTATTTTGTAATTATTTGTTTTTGACTACACCAAAGATATTCTTTATGTATTATTTAATTCTGAATTTACAATAGAGGAGTTATATGGCAACTTAGATATAAAGACAGATTAAAATTCTGGCTTGCAGTCATACATACATTTACTTCAGATTTATAATTCTTATGTCATACATGCACTACAGGGCAGCCTTTAAAAATAGTCCAGACAAAAAACACAAGTAAGAATACTAGCTCTATCTTCATTTCAAATTTGCATTAATGGAACTTGCAAGACTGACAGTGTTTCTCCTCTTCTTTCTTTTTACTCTCTGGAAAACTAGAGAAGTTTCCTCTGAAATGTTCACCACACCTTCTCTGCCTGATTAGCCTAGCTAAATATAATAAATACAGATATACGTTCCCTTTTTTTGTCAATGTCCTTGATCATGTTGTACAGTGAGAATGCAGACCATCTTCCAATAGAGTTAGGATAAGAAAGCAAGCTTTTTAACATAACATTAGTTTTACTTTAAAACTACTTTTCTGTGGTCTCTTTTGTCTGTTATTGTGAATTTGGATGCGATGGTTGGCATAAAATTGTGACAGGCCTCAAGTGTTTGAGCAATGCTATCTATTTATGCATGAGAACAGATAAGAGAAATGAAAGCTATTTTTGATTACAATAATGGGAGGGCTGCTATCTTTCCCAAGCAGAAAAATGTCTTGGCAGTTTTGGCCTTCCTTTCAAGCTAGATTTTTTTTAAAAAGTGGGAACTAGCTAGAAAAATAGCATCAATTTGAAGTGTCCATAATTACACTTCATGTGTAGGTGCTTCCTTTGCAAGTAGGCCGTTGTATGACACGCTTACTTGAAATTAAGGTAGTTATGGTTGACTAGTGAGTTGCATGGTTCATTCAGCATACTAGTTTGTGTTTCATGTTCAGTATGAACAGAGAAAGTGTCATTATATTTTGGATTTAACATCTGTATTTTTTTCAAACGTACTCAAACAGTTTAAGATAGAACTTAATATTAGAACATTGAATAACATATAAAGTTTGATGTTCTCCTACTGTCACTTTTGGATCTGAATCAACAGAGTTATTGATAGGTCTCTATGCCAATTACTGTGTGTTTAAAATATTCTGTTTTGTAATTGACTCAATATGTGGAATCCATCAAGATCATGAGAATTCTTTTTAAGGAAGTATACATCTATGTTATATAGGAAGGAAGGAAGGAAGGAAGGAAGGAAGGAAGGAAGGAAGGCAATAGCATCTTCCTACTTAGGTTCCATAGCAATTGGAGTTGAGGCATATTAATGAGCAATAAGAGCATTAATACTATTATTTTTCATAAAATGACACAGACTCAGAAATCCCTTCTCAGTTACTACAGTACAGGCAAGCAGAGTGGTAAGCAATGTGTTTGTTTTTAGTAACATTGTCCTAAATCCTTCTGACTTTTCCCCTAATTTTTCTGATGTCCTTATTTGTGAGTGGGGCATGATATAGTATCATAATCCCAACTTTCTCTTCTTGTTATACATTATGGCAGGGGTGTCAAACTGCCGGCCCGTGGGCCGGATGCATCATAGTGAAACCACACCCACCCCATTGCTGGCAATGGGAAAAAAGTCGTGATACATCGCATTATGGAATCTCAAGACTGTTTCTTGCTCCTTTCTTCTGCATTGTGTGAAGTATCTATTTGGAATGAACATAATACAAAGGCATATCTTGAAGGCACATCAAATAGCAGGTTCTGTAACAGTGCTGGTCTGAGGTTGATTGATTCTGACTGGAAAACTCAGAAAAAAACAGACTGTGCTCTTTCATGGAAAGAAAATCAAACCTCACTATAATTCCTATAACTAGTAATAGTTTCTACCAAACACTCAGTTTTACATGTCTAGGTAAAGCAGTTGGAAGTTCCTGGACAAAACAAGGAAGTATATGCAACTATTCAACACAGTGAAAATAGTCAACCTATCAAGTGATTCTGGATGATGTGAAAGGCATAATAATTTAACCAATTATTTATTTAAAGTTGTACATGGTTTGGAGATGGTTGTATGAGATATACCTTAAATGAATACATCTCAAATGCTAAATCATTGTTATGAATATTGTGTCTGTTACAGCTAGGCAAGGAGGGAACTTCTGGAATTTAGAGTGTCATGTGCCAAAATAGTTTGGCAGATGGCCCTGGGTGATGCTTATGAACAGTATTTGGAGGGGACAACCCTTGGATGCTCTACTTTAGATGATGAAATAACTTCTGTGGAAATAAACACAGACATTTGCTTTCTAAATTGTTACATGTGTTTGCTCCTGGCTGGTGAGGGATCTGGTGATCTCTCTCACATTAACAAGTTTGTGTACCTTTGAGTCAGTTTTTGACTCTGGTGACTTCCTGCACAAGTCCCTGCAGTTGTCTTGGTTGTCTTTTTTTTTCCAGAAGTGGTTTGCCATTGTCTCCTCCTTAGGGCTGAGAGAGTTGCCCAGCTGATTTTGTGGCAACAGCGGGCCAAGAATTCACAATATTTCAGTTTCTAGAAGGATGCCTTAACCACTAACATCACTCACTCTCTTCTCGGCCCTAGGAAGTTTATGCTCTCAAAAACAGCCCACCAGAAAACAATCTGATCATTCAAATGGATAGTGAAACTAGGAAAACTCTACAGAACTGGTAGGAATCGACTCATGGAGAATGGAAACGAATCTCCCTTTTCTTTTCGTCTTCAGAGCTTCTTCGGCTTTGACGTGACCCCCTTCCAGTGGATCGGATCTTCTGGATCTCCTGCTCTTGTTCTGAATGGAAACCTCCGCCAAGGATTTCAGGAAAACAGACCGTCCTTGCATTTGTAAGCGAAATCGGCGCCATCTCTTTCGGGGGAGGCTGTGGGACTAGGAAGGACGTTCCTGCTTTCTCTCTAGGATTCCGCGGCTATCTACACAGCCTCCAGTCCAAGTCCGGTGCAGCTCCAACGCACCCACTCCCCCCCTTAAAGAAAATAGGAGGCAAACACTCCAGTCCTTCCTCCGTAACCCACACCCACTGATTCCTGTCTAGCTAGCCTGTGATGGACCTTATGTCTGCTAGGAGAGGCGCATAAGCATTTCCCTCTTCTTGCTGGAAACGGGAGCGGGTAACCGCTAAGACTTTGGGACGCGCGCCGTTCAGGAGCATTACGACACCCATTCCTTATTCCTTTGACTGCTCTCCGGCGGCGGCGGCGGCGACGGGGAAAGAGCCGAGGAGCGTTTTGGGTCGCAGAACCCGAAGCTGCCATGGCCGAGCGCCGCGCCTTTGCTCAGAAGATCAGCAGGTAAAAGAGCCGGTGCGCGGCGGGCAGGGAGGCGCTGGCCGCAGGCTAAGTTCCGTGGGTTTCGCGTGGGGCTGGGCAGAAGCGCGAGGGGCCTAGCAGGGAGATGCATTCCCGTCTCCACTAAGGGAGATGGTTTTGCCGGCGTGGGGGATTCCGGAGACTTGACGGGGGGAAGGGCCGGGAATTGCGCCTATTGTGTGGATGGCTTTGTGCTGCGTCGCGCCGTTTTGTGTACTGGGCCGTGCAAAAGGCGGGGGCCGTCGCTTGCGGGGGGGGGGGATCTTCCGGGGCGCGTGGCGCTGCGGCTGGGCGGTCGCTACCCCTGGGGGGGAGATTTGCTCCGGAGCCCGATCCCGATAGGCGTGGATGTGATTTATTCAGCAGCAGCAGCAGCAGCAAAGGGCAGGCCATCGTGTGGGCGGCCGGATGCATTTTGCGCCCAGGCTAATTCAGAAGCACGCTCCCTTCCCAGGACTTATTGTAGCGAACTTGGTTGCTTCCGTAGGTACGTGTGTACGGGCTTTATTTGGGCTACAAAGGCAAAGTCTTCTCTTTAAGGACCGCTAGCTTTGGATTTGCAGGCTTGCGTGTTAGATCAGCTCCCCGCCGCCTTCCCCCTTTGTCCTTTGGCTTTAGACGTAGATGGTCCTCCCTGGGATTTGCATCTGGTTCCCTGTCTACAGTTTGCTCTTTGGACGGTCCCTTTCGGACAGGGAGAGCTGTGCTTTGGCATTGATGTTTGGATGAATGTGTGTATGTGTGTGATGGGGTGGGGTTGTAATGCACTTGGCTTTGAAATAAGGGAGGCTGCCTATATTGGGTTTTGTGGAGGAATTGGAAACGGGTTTCTTGTTAATTTTTAGAAGACATAATCATGGGGTTTAATGTAGCAGACAGAGCAGCTGCCTTCACTGACATTTTTTGCTGCCTTGCTTGATGCTCTCTTGTCATGCTCTCCTCTGGGTGCATTTTATCCTGAAGTTCTTTCTCTGCAGTCTTTTCTCAGTGAAATTTTTTTGCCTGTGCACATGAGGTGGGGTGGGGGAAATCCAGACTTCTAAGTTTCAGATTCTGTATTATGTATAATCTGTCTTCCAAACTTAGATAGATAGATAAGATAGATAAGATAGATAGATTGATTGATTGATGGTAAAAAAACCCATCTGATTTTAAGTTTTAAAAAAAACCTCCATCTGGTATCATTTTATCCAGATTTTCCTTTATTACTTTTTAATTTTACTTTTTTTCACTTTTATTACTTTTTAGTTTTACTTTTTTCACTTTTATTTATATTTTATCCTTCAGATTTTATTTTATATTCCATTCTTACATGTGAATGTTGGTGGAAAGAACTTTATCCTTTCTTCTAACATACCCTCTGTAAATGGCCACTGACACATTAATGAAGTTCACTTTATCTTAGAGCACTGCCTTTGAAACTTTTATAGAGTTTTTCATCTGCTTTTTAGAAAGTTTTGGTATAAGAGTTAGAACTTAGAGTGTATTCATACTGTAGATATTGTTGGAAAAGAACCCTGTTAGTCTTTGGTAGCCAAAAATCAGGAATATGATAGCTCCCTTTTAGACTTAATATACTTTATCAGTTTAGCTATCCTCCATCAATCTGATGAAATGAGATGAAAACTTAATGTCTTTTTATACTATCTGTTAACCTGATATAGGACTAACAGATTCCTACTGTAGAGGTAGTCCTCAACTTACGCCACAATTGAGTCCAAAGTTTCTGTTGCTAAGCAAGACAATTGATAAGTGAGTTTTGTTCCATTTTATGACCACAGTTGTTAAGTGAATCACTGCAGTTGTTAAGTTAGTAACACAGTTGTTAGGTGAATCTGGTTTCCCCATTGACTTTCTTGTGAAAAGGTCACAGAAGATGATCACATGACCCTGGAACCCTGCAACTGTCATAAATACATGCCAGTTTCCAAGTGTCTGAATTTTGATCACATGACTGTGGGGATGCTGCAATAGTCATATGTGTGAAAGACAATCATAAGTTGATTTTTTCAGTGTTCTAGCTGAATGGTCATTAAGTGAACGGTTGCAAGTCAAGGACTACCTGTAGTCTATATCAGTTTATTCCTGCTGTGTTCTGTGAAATTTGTTATTTAACTAGTAAACCTGTTAGGATTAGGGAGATTGGTTAGCAACTAGCAAATATTATAGCTTTCCTTACATGAAATCTGCCTATAACTTTATCTCTGTGAGTCTGGTTTTAAGATTGTGATCATATAAAGCGAATAATTCAAAATTAAATGTTTATTGATAAAATGCTGTCTCATCTCTCTTCATCTTGACATCTTGATACTGAATATGGGATCTGCAGCAAAAAGAAGGCTGGGGAATTCGGGAGGTTGAAGTCCATACAGATAGTCCTCGACTTAATAACCATTCTTTCCACCTTCTGTTCCCATCCACCATCTCATTAGGCCAATAACTTTATTCTGGAATTACATGTTCAGAAGGAATCTAGTAAATACCTTGAAATTAACAGGATTAACTTCTGCATATATAGGTAGTCCTTAACTTACAACAGTTCATTTAGTGACCGTTCAAAGTTACAAGAGCTGTGGGTGGCGCAGTGGTTAGAATGCAGCATTGCAGGAAAATTCTGCTGACCACTGACTGCCATCAGTTTGGCAGTTTGAATCTCACTGGCTCAAGCCTTCCATCCTTCTGAAATCGGTAAAATGAGGACCCAGATTGTTGGGGGCAACATGCTGACTCTGTAAACCGCTTAGAGAGGGCTGTAAAGCACCATGAAGTGGTATTTAACTCTAAGTGCTATTGCTCAACGGCATTGACAAAGTTACTTATAATATTTATAACCGTTGCGGTATTCCTAGGTTCACACGATTAAAATTCACACACTTGGCAGTTGATTTATATGTATGAGGGTTGCTGCATTCTGGGGTCATGTGATCCCCTTTTGTGAGTGTCAACCATGCAAAGTCACGTAACAGATTCACTTAACATATGTGTAATTAATTTAACAACAGTGATTCACTTAATATCTGGGGCAAGAAAGGTTGTAAACTGGGGCAAAACTCACTTAACAAATGTCTCACTTAGCAACAGAAATGTTGCACTCAATTGAAGTCGTTAGTCGAGAACTACTTGTGTCTAAAAAGGTATAGAGATGCTTTTTCCATGCTCTGCCAATCAACAGTGGTATTAAAACAGATCCAACACAAGGTCTTCATATTGTCAGAGCACTGTGTGATCAAGACATTTGGTTAATGCACTTCCTACTTCTCTCTGCTACTGGCTTTTCCAGATTGGTCAAATATTGCATTAATTATAGCTGTTCAAAAGAAAGAATGTTATTTTGCTTCTCCTGAATGACAAGCGCTAATAACATTGACAGAAGCTATGTACAGCAAATGAAAAATGAGGAAATCTCTCTTAACAAGTGTTGCGACATAAGAGAAAGGATATATTTAATTACTGTTGTTTGTTTTCTTTTTTAAAAATTGCGCTAGCAGTAAATATAACAATTAAAAATGACAAATATTTATCACAATAGACATGTGAATTCAGGAAGAGATCCTCCAGTCATTTTCCAATCTTGCAGTGCCATGGACTGACAAAGTTTGAAAACTCCTGGTTTAGGAAATTCTTTACTGTCATTCTAGGAAAGATACTCTCCAGACATTGATAGTTAGCTTAATTCTAATTACATTGGAAAAGACTTGGCAGATAACTTACATGATTGCCAGTAGGTTTTGCTTCTAATTTTAAACCAGGTATAATGATCTGGAAGCTTTGTTTGTTTAGGAATAAAGAGAGAATTGAAATAATGATAATAATCCTGGCTTATTTTAAGTTATGTTGGGATAAACTAAGGACAGGCAACTATTTTTGTTCTGATAAGCAAATTTGGAATTATAAGGTTATAAATTATTATTTATGTATGCATATATTCAATATAGCTATAAATTAAAGACAGCAAACACACACTAAAATAAAAGCCCAATTGTTTTTTCCACTCCAATCCTTCCAGAAATGTTTCCATGGATTTATCTGTGTGTCTTTTTCTGGATTATATGGGTACATTTACTAATGAAGCACTGGATTGGAGCCATGTATCATTTATGTTTCCAGAATGCTCTGTGGGACACCAGAGGCATTCTTGATAATAAAAATTATGCTGGCTATAAAAACAGTGGTGGCTTGTAGTGTGTTACTATGGTAGTGTTCTTATTTTTAATTTAAAGGATTTTAAAGAAATAGAGTCTGATGGAGAAAAGAGTCAGCCACCAAGGGAGGTGCCTGTGTTCCTTTGGTACCAAAGTGTACATTTTGTCTACCACTAACTAGCTGATTCCTGGCAAAAAATATTACTTTAAAATTTAAAGTGGTTGAATTTTCATTTTTGACTCTGAAAACGGAGAATCTTTCTGTGGAGTTATGTTGGGAGAGAGAATTGAAGGGAAGAATAAGTCAATGCAAAGTTTTGCAGAAGATGGTGGCTTTGTTTTCATTGGTGCAAACTTGATCAGGGACCACTTACAACTCTTTGGGGAGGAGGATGGTAATAGTGATTAGAGATGGTTATTCTGTAGGAAACTGAGCAAAACTTCCGCCAACAATCAGCCATCCAGTGACAATCATTTGAATAAAGGAGTTTTAATTAGGCTTTTGAGATACATTATGTTAATAATTTTATATGCATATTTCCTAATAAGGTCATTCTGCTTGTGGAATTCTGAGAATCTTAAATTGTAAAATGGTTTACAATAGATTCCAATGGCACAATCATTACATATGATGGCATTGTATTGTGTTATAATTTCAAAGGAACACTACACAGATGATTTACAAATACAGGTTGTCCTCGACTTACAACAGTTCATTTAGTGATCGTTCGAAGTTACAATGGCTCTGAAATGAGCATTTTTCACACTTAATCATTGCAGCATCCCCAAGGTCATGTGATCAAAATTCAGATGCTTGGCAACTGGTTCATATTTATGACA